GGTATGGTCGCAGCATGAACATAAACAATAAAATCATGTCACATCTCTAGCCACATCAATGACTATAGTCTCATCAAAGACTCACTCATGTACATCTATGCTCATCAAAGCTAAGCCATGCCATATCAGTGAAACATGGGAGTGCGTGCCACATCAATGACACGGCCTTCTCATAGGTCTTAATGAGATTTACCTCACTGGGTAACCGTATCTTATCATACGGGGACAACCGTATCGATGGCCATCAAGCTCACATCGATAGGCTACATGTTCATTTTCATACATAGATCACACCAAACTTTTATCATAAATAAATCACACATATGCATAGATAATTTTTGAATAACCCACCTGGATTCCGGATTGATAATAACTCAAAGCAATTGGTAGTAGGTCAAGGCTGGACTCCTCAATTACCTACATTGAGTCAAGATGCTACAATCAACATCTACCTTAACTTTAAACGGAAAACACAAAACAGACCTAGTCGAACTTATTTCGACTAAGTAGTTCGTGAAGTCCTGTGGATGTTGGAACACTAAGACTCGGCTCTAAACTCGACCAAACCACATAAGGGAGTTCACACAAATCCATCTAAGGATTGACCAAGTCAAACACACATAAAACGAAAAAGCAAGTCGATCCAAATTTTCCATATAACAATTATGCTCGAAAATTGAAATCATTTAATCGCATGAAAATAGATGGTCGAGCTACCCAACGAATTAAGCTCTGAAAATTTACACAAAATTTCATCTCCCAGAAACATGTAAAACCACAAAGTTTCAGCTTTAAACTCAAAATATCCTAATTTATAAAATTCGGAAAAGATATCAACAAAATGGGAACATTAATTCATACTCAAACTTAATGAACGAATCAAAACTTGAAAATTTTACACAACAACATAAAGCATGCTAAAGTCCATGTATAAAAATCTCAGCCTTAAATGTTGACTGCTGCTATTTTTAAAAATTCATACGAGCAACAGCAGTTTATCAAATTTAAATCCAAACTGAATCAAAATGAACTCCAAAGATTCCCATCTTTTGCACACATTATTAAACACATAAAATAAGCATCTCAGTAAAATTTCATAATTTTTCATGAAGTAACCAATTTATATAAATTCAAACAACGTTTCTACAGATTCGATAAATAAAATATTAACCACATCAAATCAAGTCCAAAAATTCTACAAATTTAACAAAACATATAAAAGTCATAGAGGCATGACATATTTGAATTTCAGCTCATTACAGTCATGCATGAATTTTTTATGCATTTAATAATATTCTGGACAGATTACAAATTAATTATTAAAAATAGCTACAGGACTTCCGCGAGTCGACTAGACCGATCCCTGCCTCTACTCGATTGCTCTCCATAGAATCGACTTTTAGGGAGGTCAAATTAAGCATGTCGACATAGTTATGTCGACATACGAGTTGTTCGAATAGTTCACCGGTCGAGCAAGGAGCCTCTGGCCGGGTTATCCTTATATGGTTATATCAGCTTCGATGTTGGAAAATGAGCGCGGTCAGCCGACTACAGGTTTGCGTGAAAGGGCTGAAGTCGGAGGTCTGAGCTGTTGTCGGAGGACGGTGCTGAACAGAGCTTGATCGTGGGGTTTTCCTCCACCACATTCCTCCACCACAAAAGTCTCACCTTCTCTGTTCGTCGATACTACTCTCTCAGCAAAAGTCGCCATTGAAAGAGGGGCCGCCGGAATTGCTCAGCCGCACGAAGGTCGGAAATCATGAGTTGCTAGGCTGCTTTGCGTAGAGGTCACGGCGACTACTTCTGGCGAGGATGGCTCACGGTCGGGACTGCTCGGAAGTGGGCTCACCGATTTGGTGTTCCTGGTTTCGCGATAGTGGCTGCCATGGTGAACCGTTATTGATGGTTGACGGGTCGCTGGTTTCAGTCGCGACTCCTTGGTCGCCAGAAATCATTCGATTGGGGAAGACAAAAGTCGAAAATAAACATGGGGGAGTGGAGAATTTTTGGAAGAGGATCGATGTGCAGTCGAGGAAAAAGGCCGGGAAAGAGGGTGGCGATGCTGAAGACGATGAGGCGGCGATCTATTTTTGTGTCTGATATGCGTGAAGGGAACTAAGGAAAAGACACCCTCGCCTAAAACTCTTCATCTTACGGGCCAAAATAAAACAAAAGAATGAGCCGGTTTTAAGTATTTAAATGGGTCAACGATGAACTCCAAAAATAGGTTGAATTTTCCACATAAAATTGGACCAAAAGAAAATTCAATATACAAGGCCGAAATATACATCAGTTGGTACGAAAATAAATTATTCAAGGTCTAGTTTGAAAAGGGCTCGTAAATGAGTTGAAAACGAATTTAAAATCGGTTTACGTGATTAAACCAAAAATCGCCCGAAACAATTTAAAATCCTCATCAATAAATCCTAATAATTTAACCGGAATATATATATACCCAATAACATACATATATTCCATACAATAATATCACTCAGGATCACTTAGGCATTTAATTCAAAATAATAATAATTATGCCAATAAAAATATTCGAGAAATCTAATAATCGAACGGGGCCTTACAGAAATGGAAATTCAATTAATGTTTTGGAGTCTCCTTGGATCCCAAAAAATTCTTCTTTCAAACAAAAATGTTGTTTCTGGGGGGATAAAACTAGAATTCGAAAGGTTAGTGAATTAATCAAGAGTTGGGGTAGAGAGTGGGACAGAGATCGAATCCTTCAAACATTTGATCCTTTAGATGCTGTGTAACGCCCCAAATCAGAAATAATAGTAAGAACGGTTTCACTGCTCGACTATAAGTGAAATCCGTAATTTTCAGAAATTCCCGAGTTATATTTAGTATGCTAAATGCTCAAATATGATAAATTATTCTTTGAATAATTCTATCTCAAGTTTAAGTTAAGATTAATCCATTAATTTGGGTTATTAAATAATAGCATGTTGATTCGAGAACCCTAGTTTGATTCCGAGTCATTTTCTAAAAATTTTCCGAGGCTAGCCGAGTCTTGATATTTTATACTTAGAATATTTTTCTAAGTCTTGGAATATCAAGAAGTAAGCATTGGACATGTTAGAATCGAGCCCTAGTTCACACCCAACCCACTCGTGCCAAGTGCTCGCGCCCGCGCCTTAGCTCCGCCCAAGAGCATGTCACCGAGGCCAAGGTGGTCCAAAGCCTAGTCATCATCCCAAATATTTTTCTAAGTATGGAGAAGCTCTTTTGAACCAAATGCTCGGCCCAAGGAAGCTCGTACACGCACAGCACGAGCCCAGCAGCCCACTCGCGCCCAGGCCAAGTGCCGCGCCTAGCAGGTGCGTGCCAGGCCCAGCGGCAGCTTGGCAACACAACATTTTGAGCCCAACTCCTATAATTCCGGCCCACTTCCTCATGACCCATTTCAGGCGTGTATTAGCAAGGGATTAAGGATTCATTTGGGTTAAGATGTCCCTAACAAAATGATTAGCAAAGTCACAAGTAGTGGTCATTATTTTAATGAGAGTGATTGTGGGCTAGTGAATATTTTAATGTCTTAGGAAGTCCCTTGTGTCCCACTTCGTGCACCTGTGACCAGACCCCATTTGACCTCATTTTATACTCTGAAAAACCTGCCATTCCACCCAAAGATTCCATGCAAACCGTGCCCAAGAACCCCCAAGTCCCCATGCGTTTGGTATAGTGCAAAGTCATGGACTTTTGTCCCCCACACTCTTGCATAGCTAGGTCCGCCCCTCCCCACTACTTAAGACATGTTATTCAGACTTTTTGAACTCATTTGACACTAAGAAGCCCGAGCAACACTTGAGAAAAATCAGAGAAAAATCGAGACCAAGCCTTCAGCCACCTTGCGCGCGCGAGCAGCCCGGGGAAGGAGAGGAGCAAGGTTCAGCCACTTGCAGCCACATTCTCTCGAGGCTTAGCAGCATCTAAGTATTCCTTATATATTTATAAGCCTTTGGAGTTCATAAGGCTCGGTCAAATCCCATTCCAAAGCAAGCCAATCCCCATAAGTCGCGCCTAGCCCATTCCAAGCCCTAGGTTTCGTTTCTTGCATTTTGGTGAAGGTTAGTCCGAGTCATCTTCTTACCAAAATTATTTTATGATGTTTTAAGATTTTTCATGAAGTAAAACCGAGCCATGCACATGATATAACCTAAGTTTTGAATTTATTTAAATTATGGCCTTAAAAATGAAATTCGAGTTGCATGCATGCCGAAGTCAAGATTTTTTGTTTAATCACACTTAAAAAAATCATGTTATTGATGTGGTTAAAGTTTGAGAATAAAAGGAGTTCATTAACTTAGTCAAATCATCCATGAAAATGGGGTATTTTGAGCACCCGAGGCCTATCTTCATGCATGCAAGTTATGACATGAATACTAGCCATTATAGCCTTGTTTTATCATGTTTAACATTCGGCCCTGAGTAGATTTGCATGTTGAGAATGTTGGTTTGGAGGTTAAGTGCTCGTACGTGCCATTTAGGCCCTATCGAGTGAACATGCACGTGGACCCAGGGTCCACTAGTGTTTCAAGCATATTTGTAGCACATTCATCATATTATGTTCATATGTCATGCATGTTACCGGAGATGGTCGCTGGAGGTCCGGCAAGGGCCGGCCTCGGTCACTGGCCGCGCATGCAGCGCGGCAGTGCCGGCCCGAGTCTACCCGTGCCCGCACCAGCGTGCGCGTGGTGCCAGTGTGATGAAGATCGTGTGTTCCGACTGTCGACAAGCCGCTCTCGCGCCTTAAATCGCACGATAGGTGTCTCGCGAGCCACGTGAGCGCCTCTTGAAACGATAGATTTGTACTAAAACTCAAGAAAGAATTCTAACACAAAAGATTTTGACCAATGGTCGGGTTTTTCATTAATTCAAGACATGATGATAAAAGTCCTAAGAACATGAGTATTTATAGATATCAACTAGATCTAGTCCTATGGGTACTATAATTCTAGTAGATGGAACATATCTAATCCTTAGGCAACTAAATCACTAATTAAAGCAATAAAATATTAAAGTCCTAAACAATCTAGAAATCATAAGCAATAAGGAAACTATATATCTAAAGAATCCTAAGTGATCTTGTCTTGCACTCCAAGTAGGGGAAACCCTAGCCTATCCCTACGCGCGCCATTCCTATTCCACCTAGGGAAGAATCCCTAGTCTCCACGCGCGTGTCGCCTTGGGTTCGTCCAGCGTGCGTCTTCCCTATGCCTGGAAGGATCATGCCCGAGGCTGCATCGCCTAGTCCTAATCCGCCAAGGCGTTTGCTCGAGCGCGTCTCCACTTCGCCTATTCCTACTAGGAATATGCTCCCGGCTGCGTTGCCTGTTTCTTCGAGGATTACTTCCGTCGCCGATCTATCACGTGCGTACCAGCACTCAGCTGCTTTGTCTAGTCCTGTGGGGTCTAGTATTCGCGCCTTGCCTATTCCTATAAGGATTAGGCTTGCGCCCTTCGCTTGTGCGATCATCTCGCGTGCTTTCCATGCATCTTCTGCCTTGCACACCAAGTTGTGCGGATTAACCCTAGGCGGCGTGGTATTCCTCGCCCACCAAGGACTCGCACCCGTCAGCCATTGCGCGTCCCGCGCGTCGCTGACCTCATCCCACGTGTGCCCCGTCGCGCTCCGCACGCGCTCCCGCATTCGCGCGTCGTCCCGCTCTCAAGTGGACGACACGAGAGCCTTTCTTCCGATTACTGGCTCGCGGATCGCGCCCCTTGTCCCAATCGTCCATTGCTGGCTCGACTCCCGCGCCAGCCTCCTTTCGCTCGCGACTTCGCGGCTCACATCTTTTGCACCCTTTGCCTCTCGCGTGATCGAACCATACGCGAACCCTTCTTCGCGACTCGCCCGACCTCTTCGCTAAGTCCTCGTTATCATCTCGCTGGACCGTCTCGCGCGTGCCATTCTTTGCTCGACCTGGCCTTGCGCGGCTTGACCCTGCGTGCCTTATCACGTGGTCCACGCGTATCGCTTGCCTAAGTGTTGTGTGAAATACTCGTGCACAGCCATCACGAGCCACCTTCGCATAGTCTCGGTATGTCGATCGCCTCAACCGCGTATGCGCCGACTCGCGCCGCACACGTCTCCTCTCAGCGCATCCGTGTCGCACTTTCCTACGCCATTGCGCTCGTCTGAACGCTTTTATACGGGCTCGTACCCGTCTCTTAGGCCATGCATACGTGAATTTGGCCCTTTTTTCAGCCTTCCCGGGTCGTCTCGGCCATCGGCTCTCGACGTCCTCGGGCCTTGAAACCCACATTCGCATCATTCCCGCCCCCTTAAAGTTTGTCCTTGTCCTCAAGGACTCATCAAGTATCTTCATTCGGGGCTCGTCGTCCTTCTCGATCACATCGAACTCTCCTCCCGTTTTCTCGACTTCATCGACCTTAGCTATCTTGGCCACCTCCTTGAGCCTTGGAGCTTCAACCACCTCGGCTTCTTCAACCTCGACTTCGACGAAGTATTCATCGGGGTATTCATCATAGATAGGTGGTCCATCAAAACCCGTCGCGACTTACTCGCCTGCGACTTCTAGGTAGTGTGAAAAATCGAACGGATAGTCGAGCTCCTCGCATCATTCCTCAATCACTTGATCTTCTCCAACTACATTCCCGAGCATCGATGTTTCGAGTGTGTTGGATGTTACCGGATCGTGCTCGTACGATTCACAGGACTCCTCTTCG